TTGCTCGCCCACTAAGTTTGTGCTCTTACCCTAAAGAAAAGGCTGAGAGGCGGTTTTCACTCGCCCTGTAAGCCACACACAAAGAGCCACATCAAGCTATTCACCGGCAATGACTCCCCAGTTTCGCGCGCGGACACTATCTGAGACCAATGGAGCCAATCATCAAGTACATCCGTTCCAAAGCCGAGAGTGCCCTCGGGCTCATGAGAAAAATCACTAACAGGAACCGGGGAATCAGGGAGGACCATCTTATCCGAATTATGCACACATTTGTGCTATGTTACCGTGCTTATAGGCAGCTATGCACAACTGATTCGTGCCGGAACACAACATGATCAATGCCCTATTCAGAAGAGTTTTCAAGCTAGCCCTTGGCATTCCTGTCCGAATGCACACGAAAGCTGGGAATGCACAACACTTTCGAAGAAATCGCCGAAGCCCAAATGTTCTCACAGTTTGTCAGGCTGCCCGGCACCCCGGTGAGTAGGTTCATGCTCGGTGTGCTGGGAAACAACCCGTGGTCGTCGTTCCTGATGCTGTGAAGCTTCTAAACGAAGTAAGGTCCAAGATTTTTATACAGCGGATGCTCCGCAATATGCATCTAGCCTACAACGCAGCACTAAGACGAGCAAGGGGCAAAGTTCTGCTCACCAGTACCCGCTTGGTCAAGGAACGAGCCTGCTTCATAGGTGCCACTTCGTATGCTAAAAATGCGTTTTCGTCAGTGTTCATTGAATGTGATTTCAAGAAAACAGCTGCGTTAACACCCGTACTTCTAGGTCCAGCTTTGGAGAGCAGGTTGTCATTCCTCTTGCATTGACGAACGGTGTGCATGTCACAATTTATTTAATCTCCAAGGCTATCGAGCCGTGTAGAATGGGTATGGTGGCTTCCCAGGACCTACAGATCCTTAAAAAGTTCGACACCTCACAAATCACTCATTGGTCTGATTTACGGCTTACCTTAGAACTATTGAAAGTGCTTTGGTACATCTGAACGAGTAAACGCACTCGGCTGCACAAGATGTGACGGACCGTGCGCCGTTTGACGCGTCATTTGCTGGGCAATTCGAGGATATCCGCACGCACAGCGAGATATCCAAACACCATCGTCTCTCAAGAAGACTGCAGCGTCTACCACACTACTCAATGTACAGGGCCCCAGCTGTTACTGTCACATATCTCCAAACACGAACCTACCCGAGCCCTGCTGCGTTGCATACAATAGATCACGAATGGTACTCAAGCCCGGATTGCCCCTTGTGTGGCGGTTATGCGGATTTCGAGCATGCCCAGCGGGGCTGTCTCTTGGCTGGTTCATATTTCCTACAAAAGCAAAAGAACAAGCAAAGGAACAAGCCAGATGACGCTGAGCTAACTAACGTCTGCTCTGGAACTAATGAAGTTGTTTCACTCACTCATTTCTACCAGCGTGTGTTGGTACGTTGCAAGTATCATGCAAGACCATGGACATCTTGCTATTTTTATTATGTGAACTATTTCTGAGTGCTGTACACTATTAAAGCTAAGATGGTTTGACAAATATGACTCGCTGGTAATGACACAACTATCGCGAAAATTCTTTCACGGACATTGTGGAAGCCTTTCCTCCCCACACGTTTGACACATACGGTGATACCATGGGTGTGTATGTGCTAATGCTATGCGGGTATGCTCCACAGGTTTTTGACACTTTATATCTAGCCAGACATGGCGAAAACGAACACTTGTTATTTTACAACATGAGAGTTAAGGAAAAGATGACATTGGCAACGTTGACTCGACAAATGCAAAGAATAAGTGACAGGATTCAAGCAGAAATTGAACCCTTGTATTCTGCATGACAATCATGTATGCTATACAAATAACAATGTTTTTCTACTTGTGTTGTCATCCATTTGCTTACCTTCATGATCTAGTAATACGGTATCTCTACGATCTTCCCACATCACCGAGATTGCTAGATTGCACACAATGCCGGAGCAGCCGTTTCTCCAATTTTATTTGACGTTGTCAAACCGATGACACCACATCCACTTTAATTGCACAAATTGATATATATTAAACCACTTATTAGTTGCGTGCTCAGAGTGATATGTATGCGGGTGATGGCGAGAAAAAAAGCTTGCATAAGCTGCGAAAACATTTAGCTTGGCGTTGTTAGTTTAGCTTGCACATCCATTCTTTTATTATGGAGCATACAGAGACAGCAAACATTACAAAAGATAGAAACTTTTCAGTTTTTTTTTGCAGCACTCTTCGCTTAGGTCGATTTTAATTTCGGCTGATGATGGCTTTCTAGGCACCCAGCGATATCTGGACGAAACATTTTCGTGCTTAGACAAACATTTCCATCACTGATCTTGCAACTCCTTGTTGACCGGTCGGTTCAAACAAATTGATCTTTCTTGTATATGCTTATTTTGTTAAACACAACTTAGATATAGCGTTCGTGATAAGTTTATATATATACATGATATATAAGTGGGCTTTACAAATCGAACATGGCCCTATTTTCAATTACTTGTTAGCTTTTAAGCACTCATTAATTTTTGACGCCTGGTAATTGTCACGTAATAAGTATTTAAGCTTAAAAATGACGCTTTCTGTCATGATGACACGTTCATTGCATCACCTAACACACAAGGAGGCAGAGAGAGACGAAAGAAATCCTAGGTAAAAAGGGAGAAAGTTTCGGAAAACTATATGTGGCGGCCTTTTCTGCGTTCTACTGTTTACAGTTTGGTGGAATATATACCTAGGACGTTGTTTTTGAAGTTATAAATGCCTAATAAACTGCAACTATACAAATAGGAATATAAGGACATAGAAGTAAGCAAGCTACTTAAATCTCTACTATATCCCCGGAGCCTGAAACCAGGACTTGATGAAAAACGCACTCTTTCATGCAGAGTTTTTAGTACATTATATCTATTGCTTGTTATTCGAATAGCCGAGGAAAAATAATTGTTAGCCAAGCATTTTGCATGGCAGTCAGGTATTTGAGAAAATGTATGAACCCTCTTTTTTAAAAAGAACCATAATAACGAAATTCGAAGTAGCAGCGGTGCGCACGAAGTTGACCCAGCTGAAACAGACGTCAACGTGGGTAATAGAAGAACGGTTTAATGCGAAACTCAATGTATCCTTTGCTCGAGTACGTGTTTCTTTAAAATGCAATGTCCGAAGATGCGGGTTGAGTTTTGCGTTAGTTTTATGACAGATTCACGAGCCGAAAGAGTGTTTTCCCTTGATGTGCGCTCAAACTTCGCGAGTGGTGGAGACGGTGAAGCGAGCGAGATGACACATGGCTAGCGGTGACAGGCTAGGAAGAGAGTGAAGTCAACGCGCGCTAACTGTGAGGGAAGGCTTGACATGCTTGGCACCACCCCAACACCTGCTGCCAGAAGAGCGTCTTGCGGAGGGAGGCACAGCGTCACACTGGCTACTTAAAGAGTTGCTTCGCATCTAAAACGGCTAGAAGTCTTGCAACTACCTTTGAAAAATGCTATGCAGGCACAATGCTGGGGCAAAATCAATCGTGTCAGTCGCAGCACTTGAACTAGTGAGAATTCTCTCATATGGATGCTATAGTGAGCAAGGTTATGTGAGAGAAAGAGAAACCTAAGATCCAGAGGACACTATTTTTCACAACCACAACATTTAAAAGCAAAACAGTAAACTGCATTTGTATCCAACCTTGTGAAATGACGCGACGTGTGTCTCTGAATTAGGTTGATTCAAAGTGAATGTCCCCTCTTTGAGAAGCATGATAGTAACTCCCTCTTTCCAGGTTTGCGCCCTATATGGCCGACGTAATTTACGCGGTCACCACCTCTGTTAACGCGATGCGTGAAGGTTATCCTAGAAACACACGTTAAACCTAATATATAAAACGAAGTCAGATATTGTTTGTCATAGCGCATGTCCACGTATTTTAAAAACAATACGCTGGTTGAGTCAGTGGTATCATAAGCCTAGTTTTTGGGTGCACGTATTTTTGGACCCTATCACTTAGCGGCGTAGTGTATAGTTTTTTCAAGCAACAGTGATACTCTTAAATTTTACGTGACGTTTTAGTGTGAATAAAAACAAATTCGAAAACCAAATGACGTTCCATTTATTAGGATGTTTAAAACTAACAGACAACGATACCGATGAAGGTATCGGGAATGTCATTCGATGGTTGCAAGATCTTGCCCAGCCCTCGACAAGCTATATATCCCGCTTGCATCATAACTGCTACTAATAAAGACCCATGATATGCTTCGCTTTTTGTTTGTTAGTTCTAATGAATGTTGTGTCCAATACAATAAAGCGACCCTTGCATTTCTTGCAATCTTTTACGGTGGAAGCGCGCTACTTTTTCTATTAGTTTTTTTCTCTTGTCATTCCTAGACAGTACCAGTAAATGAAATTTTTACAAGTTTAGACGTCTTGCAGCATCTAATGTGAGCAAATTACTTCTTTGTGTGTGTCGGTCTCCATGGTACCTGTACAACTTGTGAGAGATCCGAATATGTTGTTTGTTGAAATGAAAGAAAGTGTATTTTTCTGGACACTTGAAAAAGAAGATGTGTTTTCCATTATTGCTATGTGCTTCAGCCTAATCACTTGTATGTGCAGCAAATGAACCTAACAATTTTGTTTGAGTCATTTTGTCGGTAACTGTCCTCTTTATTAACACGCTAAGGGGTGGATCTGTACTCCTTCAAGAAACTTTTATTTTTCGAAAAAATTTGGAGTTTAGCTGGTACCTAGGAAGTATGCACAGTTTCAAGAAATATGAAGATAAAAGTCGTGAAGAGCAGTTTAAGCAAATCATTTGTTAGTGTTAGACCTAAGTATTTGAAAGAGGTGGCTTCAATACCAGAATGCATATGTCTGTTTAAATAGATAGGAAATTCTTGTTGTCTACAGGATATTCGCTTGAGAACAATTTTAGCTTAGTTAATATGACAGGGAACGAAAGGCGGAGCTCGAAGTGTCAGATATATTGGACTAAAAATCAAAACCAATTTATTTTCACAAGACTACGCAGTAATGACTCCTCCAGAACACCGATTATGTGCAATAGCCATCTTCACATGTTCCTGAAAAAGCGAAAAGGGAATATTTTTTGTGAGCGTCCCAACGTGAACCAAACTGTTGTGCCGTTAGGTATACTGCCATCGTAATTCAAATAACGACATTGAAAATGAGTTTTGGTTTCTTATTTCAGGACTCTACATAAATGTTATTGTGAAATGAATTACCATTTAGTGCACCAATTGAGCGCTCTAGATTAGGAGCCCACTGTTGACAATGAGTTAACTGCAGCATTCCCAATAAAGAAACAAAAAAATAGATGCAAAGTCACTACCTTACTGGTTATTGTTCAGCTAACAATTCACTATATTCAAGATTAGAGTCCCCATCTTATTATGAGAAAGTTTAAAATAGAGATAAGGAACTCTTTTTTTCTAAGCCAAAGACAATCTTGAATTACACAGCACTTTGGTGAATCTTCCGTAACGTAACCCTGTACTTTCTTCAAACGGGTGTTCTTGTGTAACAAATATATTTGTAAATACTTGTAAGTTAGGGTGTTAATATTGCTTTAAAAATAACTAATAAGATTTTAATGCAAATCATTTGATAAAAATATAGGAACAAGCTATGAATTGTCGGTGACTTGAAAGCTAACACTAAACGTATCTTACCTTGGTTTACACCACAGGGACACATGCCGAGGTACACATTACTTAGAGACCTTGGTGAACAAGGATCTCCACGCTTGCCGAGTGGTTTACAGCGTCTACGGGAGCGAGAAGTTTGCTGGCAGCATGTACCTTCTTCGCAGATTGTTTTCTTGTTGCACAGCTGGTTCCGGCGTCGGAGCTACAGTTGCGGTGGTAAAAAAAGAAAGCTGTAGCACAGAACGACACAAGAACAATACAAGTATGGGCTCCCTACTTGACAAATTCACTTATGAGACTGAATCATAGAGGCGCAATAAATATGTGCCTGTAAAAAACAACGGTCACGTGATTCGGTGCTTTTTGGGCTTTAGAAGTAGTTCGACTTCACTTAAATGAAACTAATTCAATAAAACCGTCTTCGTAGTAAAGTATTTGTCAGGCACCCGCCGTGCCAGCGGAGGACATGAAATTAACACAAGCGCCGACCAAGGCGAAAATGTACATTTTAAAAGACGTGGCTGATTCCTCTGTATAGGAACTGCATAACACGAAAGTGAAACGTGTTTTTACAGAGTTAGTTAGGCCTTTATAGTGCATACTTTCAGCAACAGCAACAAACTACATAATTCAGTTAAGAATGGCAAGCACTTAAAACATGCCTGCGCGCACATCAATCAGAAAGCACGCATGAAATTAGCCACTAGACAGGATGAGTTCAGAATAACATTTGTGACAGCTCAACAGCTTAAAGCGCACTAGTTCAAAGAAGAAAGATACGGCGCACAAAACGAGCACACAGGTATACAGAAGACAAACGCGACCAATTGTCAGACTTCTCCTGCGTCGTCTGTCAGCAGCGCATACCTAAGCATGAGGGTCTACCTCGTGTTCCCAGAAAACTACACAGAGCACAGGCAATAACGATGAAACTCTTCCAAATGAATGAATACCCAAATCTGGCCTTCTTCAATAAGCTTTACCCTTATAATTACACTACGACCTCGTGCTAACTCGGAGCCCACAGAAGAATTAGAGTATTCGAGGAGCAGTTCTGCTACACAACAATAACCATTATCTGACTTGCTCGCAATTACTTTCTTGAAAACCCCACGCTGGGGACTTTCTTGTCGGAAATGTTATGTCACACCGATTACGCGCGCACCGTTCGCAACCACGAACTGCCATAACCGTGGTAACAACACGAAGAAAGTACTCGGAGTAGATGATGACAATTGTTGTGTAGTAGAAACACTCCCGAAATACTCGATAACTTAAGCATGTATACTCTGCTTACGCGCCTGGTCACTGGACAATGATAAAGCCTTCGAGGTTTTGTGGGGCTCTACTATCAGACTCCCCGTAAAGGGGTATCAGCTTCTGGTCGTCAGAAAAACCACGATGCGCAGTCAGGCTTAGCCTGGCCATCCTAACGTGGGACAAGCTCATTGCGCGCTAGTCGCGTCTTTCAGGACTGCAAATAGCGTTCTTTCATCCATCCATCCCATGTGGGAGCCTAAACTTCTTTTTAAATATATTTTCACCTTGACGGTGCTGTTTAGAATTCACCTAAAACCACCTTGTTGAAATGAGTCCGTAACGTCATCCTTTGACAATACGTGTGCTGTCATGTAGTAGCTTCGCTGTGAGGCAGTGCTTTGGTAGCGCAGAGTTTGTTCGAAAATCGTTGGGTTCATGTTGGGCGTAACCTATTTCTCGCACCATAACTGATGAATGGGTGCAGCATAAGATCTGTAGCTGGCTCGGGCACCTCGAACCACGCGATTGTCTGCAGTTCACACCACCAACACTACAAAATAAAAATTGGTCTAGCTGAGCAGGCATTGCACAACGAGAACGAAAAAGAAAACATGAAAGTGACAGGCTCATCGTTAGGACAGAGGGATGAATCCTACAGCAAAAGAAAGATATAAAGACAATACTACGTCTAGCATTGCGCAAGGTAATAGTTTAAAGAAAGCGAAGACTGCAATCGTCATATGTAGCCAAAAAATACGTTCAAGAAGCTGAAGAAGCGTGAATTATACACACACAATTTGCGTTTTTGAAGTTTTAATGACTAAAAAAATAGGTCTTTTCAGCATGAAAATGAACAATAGTTGGATGACTTGTGTACTATATCGCGATAACAAATACATGTGAAGACACAATCTTTCATCTGTTCTAACCTCAATAAAGGATACATCTTGCTTTATTAGGATATCTTGGTTATGCTCCACATAAGAACAGTTGCATGATGATAACACATTCAGCAATTGACTAAGAACTCAACATTGTTTATTGTATTTTGCATTAGCTCACAAAGGAAGTTGCGAAAAACTATGCCTTGTCATATTGCACACCATATTACATGGTGTCCAGCTAAGTTCAGTCAGATTTTATGAAGGATTCCGATGCACTTGATAACGACGCGGCCGAATAATGTTACTGGCTATAGCCAGCAAAACTTCAAAATAGCTCGTTATTGCTGCTCAATCGTGAACTTCAGCAAAATGACTTCAAAAGCAGCCAGGCTGAGCAATAAATTAACGTTCTGGAGTTGTACAATTCTTTAAAAAAACATAGATTCAACGTTTACAGTTCGCTAACCTACTTTAACTAAGAACGCCAGTAATAATTTAAGTAAACTATTTGGTGTGTTCAAACAAGTCCAAATAAATACATCTATCGAACTCCTCGAAACTACGTGCAGTGCAAAATATGCCAAGAAAAGCATGTTGCATAGCTTACGGAACCTAGTGACATTTAGTATATATTGGCGGACTTGCAATAACTGCATCCCAAAGTAGATTCACTCAAAGGCCGACGAACTCACTGATGAGTGGCTCTCGTGAACTCTCTTAGGACTTACTCAGACTCAGATTGCGGCGTGAGTCTGAGTGAGTACGCCTGAGTAATACTTCAGTGAGTGTGAGTCGAACTTAGTCCTGCTGAGTTGTATTATTGGCAGCCTCAGTTCGAGTGAGCCTACTTGCGCAAAATTTTGATAAATGTGAGTTTAAACAAGTTTGGTTGGCAAACATTTTTGTGCACCCGAGTTCTATTGTGTTCGCTTCCTCGAAATTTTACTTTTTCTGTATCCTAAAGTGGCCTAAAAAATAAAACATATTTAACGAGTGAGTCTGCGTGGACTTACTTTATTTGCCGACCTATAAATTCACTACAAATCTTCACCAAAAGAGGTTTGGCTGCAGTGGTGTTATCGGCCTGCATTTTCACGAATATAAGCGTTAGAAAATTGAAGGCGACAAAGCCAACGTCGAGGAATATGCGCTTAGGCAAGACTGGCATTTCTGATACATGAATCATTTGATAATGAATCCCCTAACACAGGTGAAAAGGAAGCAAATGCATTCAGCGCTCCGGTATATTTGTAATGAAATGTTCCTCCACTATCTTCGCTAACGAAAAATACAATTACTATTCACTTAATTTGCAAAGCCGCTATGAAGCATTCCGCGCCCGCAACAAAACTCATAAGTCCCAGTTTCAAATTATTTTTCGGAAACAGGAGGAAATAACTCCCTCGAACGAGAAGGCGACGTCTCTTGCTAGCGCTTAGACATCGGATACACTGGCCGTATTACACCCGCTCTGAGCTCATGTGCTACTGCCTTCGTGTTACATTTGGGGGAAGTGCGGGGTATCAGTACGGAACTTCGCAGCCAACGTCACCTGCACGCCGCTACGATGGCGTATTGAACATCGACGCCCGGGTGGCGACGTTGGCAAACCAAGCGTCAACGTCCATGCCAGCGGTCTTTCTCGCCCATCCGTGAGACCCTGGGCCATTTTGTGGCACGGACAAAACAAATGTCAAGAAGCGGCTTGAGCTTTACAGAGTAGTAAGTGACAGCTACAGGTAGGACCCGACCTTCATGGTAGCAAACCTGCTCTTTTATCTCTAAAGTACTACGTATGAGACGCATGAAGCTGACCTCACAAGTTGGAATGTGTGTAAACACAAAATGCGAATTTGTTTGGCAGACTGGTCGGTCGTCAGCTGGCAGCAAAGAGAAAGAATGTGTGCTGTACTCAGACTTCGACAGAGCCCTATGTCGTCTATATGCAAGACGTGCTATCTCTCTGCCATGAAGCTGACGACAGCATGACCGAGGCAGACAAGATTGGCCTCATCTTAAGAAGTACTGCTGACAATGCCTTTAATAGATATTTGGGAAGAGATTGCACAATGGTAAATAGAATCATAAAGGAGTGCTGGCGCATCGAGCACGGTAAGGACCGTCGCGTTGCCCAAGCGTACGACAGAGTGCCGAATACAACCCCGACATCGTCATACGAAGACCCACCACAGCTCGTATACAACCAGCAGCACCTGAAGATAAAAACGCGACTGATTCGCTGTAATCTCGAGGCCATGTCTCCAGTTGCACCTGTTTGTTATTACTTCTGAGACAACATGCCCTTAATTCCCCTTACTCAAGAAGTCGTTCGGGAAGAAATCACAAGCTTTGGCTTGGAATCATTCTGCACTGTGTGGTACGTGAACCAGATTAATTAAGATGTGAACCAGTTTCTGCCGGCCACTCGCCGAGATCCTGCAATTTTTCTCGCCCCACCACAACCAAGACGAAAGGCACACCACGGATTATCAACCCATCTGCTTCAATTGTTCCGGTATTGGACACCTCCTGTCACTGCCACAGCCACATTTTGCCACCTTCTCGTTGGTCACCTCACCAGCACCACATGCCGAACAGTCATACTTTCTCGGCTTATATGCCGACTCAGAGCATTCATGACGACATTTTGGTGCCAAGGTGTAGCCGCTCCCGTCTCCACGAGGTCGTCGGACACGCTCACTGCTCAGGCACCACTCCTCGTCTCCATACTCAAGCGGCCGTCTCACTTCGGAAAACTAAGTGGCGCCGTCCCGGAGGTGACGCTGCAACTATGACCCAGCCTTCAGAACCTCTACCAACCCCGCCTACAAGCGCAAACTTACTGGACGTGGAAGTTCACGGTGTTCATGTGACATATCTTGCCGACAAGAGGGTTCACCTTTGCGCTACTCCCCCCGAAGGCTCAGGAAAGTTTTCAAACCCACCGTGACGAGCACAGTACGAGTTGCCGATGGTGGCACTGCACCTATTGTCGGAATTCGTACAGCCCGTGTTGCTGTCGGTGGCCACAAAACCCTTGATGTATTTATTTTACTCG